CCATACTGTGTACACTACCACAAAAGACTGCATTTTTAACAGTCAGTTTCTATCCAGCCTCTTGTTAAGAGCTCACTACTTTTAGTCAAACAGCCAAGAACATATCATTGATTCTGCTTAATATGAAATGGCATGTATTGATAGTCAGTACATTCTGAACCAAACAGAAATCACATTCTTTGTTAATAGTCACTAGTACCTGTCCCTGCTGGAACCTCTTTTGGGCTCAGCAAATCAGGGTAGGGGCTTACAGTGCAGAGAGTTCTGTACCATTTTTGTAAAATGACACATCTTTGACTAGGATATTCTTTTGTGTGGTTTGATACATAGAGCAGTACCACAGAGCAGTCAGTAACAGAAACTAAGAATGTTTCTCTACACTCTGCAGCATTTAGAAATGCAAACAACATATAATAACATATCTAATCCCATCATTACCATGTGAATGACAAAACAGAGGGGATATGAGTCTGTTTGAGCGGGGCAGGTGGCTATTACCCATATTACAGTGTGTATTTATAGTAAACAGTCAAATTACCTGCTACATTATAAAAACACTGCTGTGCTAGACGATGTGTTATCATGGCGCTGCAACAGTTGTGCTGCAATGAGTGGGATATGCGTGGCATGATCCAAGATTCACCAGTGTTGGTTCACTCACAATGCTTGAATCGCCTGTGATCAGCCAGAACCTCTGAGACAAGGAACTAAGAAGGAAGGAAGGAGCAGAATATCTGGTCATAATGTTGAATGTCTTTGGATAAATGGTGTTCATTCAGTGATTTCTGGGAGGCCTAATAGTATCAGAGTGGTTTTATTGGGGAATGGATGTCTGGAAAGGTGTTCCACAAGAGCATTATCTAGATGTTCTCAGCATCGTCTTCTTTTGTGTGCATAACCTTCCATAATAAGACTTGCTTTTTTGTACCCTGATGAAGATTAATGAGGTGAAACGCGTTAACGTCTGCAGACCAAATAAAAGAGACTCGACTGGGGCTGAATCTGAGTGTGAGGTTTCGGTTTTGAGCTGGAGCTTGAAGGAAGGACCAGCGATAGGCTTGGAAAGGGGGTGGAGACGACGGTGGGGATAAGAATTTCCGGTGTGACAGAGGGAGGGGCCAAGAGAGGGAATAGAGCAAGAGTTACAGCTCAATTACAGGTCAGGTTAAAAGACAGGTGAGGAGAGGAACATCATCTATGATTTACAGAGACAGAGAAACTGAGAGAGGTAGAAGAGGTGACAGTAAGAGAGAGAAAGGTCAAGAAAGAGAGAGGTCGAGAGAGAAAGAAAGAGAGGGATGGAGAAGGAAAACAGAGATGCTCTTTCTTCTACACTGTATTTGTACAGTTGTACAATTCCAAATAATTAGGGGAAAACACTGAATATTTTGAATGATCCCTCCCCACATTTAAGAAATGGGGTGATGAAAAGAAAGAAGCAACAGCCTATGGGACAGTGGTCAAGAAGCATAACCTATCATGTAAATGTGTTTTATGTATGTAAGTATTTATGTATGTATGTTCATGCATGTATTTATTCATTCATTCATCATTTATTCATATTTATTTTTAAGAAGTTTAATATGTATGTTTTTGTCCTTGGCAATCCTGTACACCTCTGTGGTCATAGTAATAAAGCTTAATTTAATTTTAATAAAGACAGAAATAGAGAGATGCAAGTGGTAGAGGGAGAGAAACTGAATTCCGAGAGGTACTTACACAGCACAGAGACAGAAACAGAGGGGGGTGTGCCTAAAATAAGAGCAGGATGGGGTAACAGTACGAGCCAGAGGGTGAGCTCCCAGCCTCTCTCTCTCTCTGTCTCTCTCTCTCTCTCTCTCCCTCCGAGGGCCCGGCGAAGGAGCCACAGCGTCGTTTGTCTTAGAGCGGGTTATTATTTGGGCTGTCAGGGAGGGCGTGGGGTTCAGGAGTGGGGGAGTGGGGGAGCGCGGCATTCCCGCGGCAGCAGGGGGGCCTCGGGCCGGAGAGGCTCGGAGGGGAAACAGCAGGGCGCTGTGGGAACACGGACACCCCTCCTGGGAACCTGCCGGGTGAGGGGGTGGGGGGGCTGTGGGGGGCGTGTGGGGGGCTGACGGAGGAGCTTCTCCATGGTGGGACAGCACCCAGGAGCTGCCAGGGGTGGGGGTGGGTCCCTCGCCGTCCCACCACCTTACCCCACGCCCTTGAAACCAGGGGACGCTTTTTGCGTCGGCTCATCGGCTCGGCCACGGCAAATAGTACTGTGCAGACATTGGACGTTCCGTAACATTAGTCCTTTTTTTAAACCTGTTTTTTCATCTTCATCATTCATGCCCTAAGCTGAGACCAGGGGGTGACCAAGGATGTTCTACATGTAGAACATTATGTACCCCAGCGTACAGCTTTGTAACAGCTGATTCGACTGTGGTTAAGGACCTAGCTCAGTTACGCTGGAGTCAAATCCCAGATGGGACACTGCTGTTGTGAGAATGCTTCTAAGTGCTGCATGCTGTATGAAATGCATTAGAGTGCAAGATGGGCTCTCCATGCTAATGCAGATAAAGGTGTCAGCCAATTAAATATGGCCAAATGCTGCTAGGGGCTGCTTCGTCGCCTTGAGGAAGATGACACTTGCCAAGTCAGGGCAATATGCCGTGTGCTGACACGAAGTAAAGCCCTTGTCTGTAGGAGCTGAAGACCTGACCTCTGACCTTTGTCATTTCGCTGCCTGGATGATGGCTCTCAACCCCACGGGTTTGAAAAGCTGTTGTCTGCTCAGCGTTTTTCATCCACAAACTTTGTTAATGGATTGAGTGACCCGGAGCCAGGGGGAACTGAAAACAGCTCTGGGAACCTTAAGTGGAAGGGCCTGGTTTTCAAAATGAGTCAGTAATACCTGCTGCTTCATTAAAGGCATCAGATTCTAATCAGATTCACTACTCTAAGGAACATTATCTTAACTACTGATTTGCTCAGTATTAGCGGGAAGAATCAAACTGGAAATGTGTGTCAGGAAGATGGGAATGAGATTTTAAGGAAAAGAGGACGTTTTTCTAAAGTCTAGCCGATCAAACTGCAAGAGTGTCAGTGGTATGTCTTACAATGAGGAGGACATCATGGCTTTGTCTGCCCCGGCCTCCAGCCTCGCTGGGGAAAAGCCTGGATTCGTCTGACGGATCTGCTGTGCCCCCCCCAGCTCTCACCCCAGGGTGTAATTACAGCCTCTCCCCGGGTCCTGTGTGGGGGACCGGGATGATTTTCTGGGTTAGGGACGGGAAGAGCGGGGAGCTCATCAGCGCAGGGCGTGCGCTATGTTCGGAATGTCTGCTACCTCACAGGACTGACCCCAATACCGGCCCCCGCACCGGTCCCCAGGCCTTGCGTAACACACAGACACACACACAGATACACACACACATGCACACATACACACACGCACATATATGCATACACATACACATGCACGCACACAAACACACACATTCAACATTTTACATCTGACTTTGTGGGCCACTGCAGCGAGCATACCTTTAGAGCACAGACGCAAAATGCACCATTACGTGTCCCTCATGAAACAATTTAACTGATGAATTGGGTGATTACGATCTGTAATGACATAACCGTACCAGCAGCCAGGACGCCATGCTAGTAGCAGGTCATTTTTAAACAGCGCTGTGGTGGTCTTATATTCAATAAGAGAAAGGGCTAAAAAAAACCCATGAGCTGATCCCGGTGATGTCATGTTAGAACATGCCAGACTGTCAGTAGTAGTCAACAGAGGAAAGAGCCAGACTGTAGATACAGTCAGAGGGCTGCACATAGCTAAGTGACTGGCTGGAGCTGCTGTGGCCCAGAAACCCGGGTCTGAAGGCCGTCACGACTGGTTGCACCTCTGTCCCGCAGACAGCCAGCGAGACAATAGTCGCTTTGCGCAGGGAAAAAAAACTCTCTTGCAGTCCTGTTGATTCTCTCCTAGGGGTAATTGAAGTGTTCATTGAAAATGTTCATTTCACACTGAGCTTGAAATGGTTGTGTCAAACACTGGTCATAATATTTGAACCAAAATGAAATTCAGTTGATAGCCAGTGTTCAGGCACTGTTGTGTAACTTCCTCTTGTTCTAGTAGTCTGTGAAATAGTCCCTCCTGGGTTCAGTAGATTTCCATGAATAGGGCTTGGGGGAACCCTAGTGCCCATGTCCCTCCATTCAGGAGAAGGGGACAATTTTCAGGACGGACATCCAGTGATATAGAGACACTGGAAATGTCATCAAACCAATGAGCGTAATGTGCATGCTGGGATCCAGGTGTTTGATCGTGTTGCACTAAGAGCTGGGATATTCAGAGTTAGTGGGGAGGCCAGGTCTTTCCATTGATTTGAATGGCAGAATACTAACAGAATGCACCTTTCTGCCACCCCATGAAGAAGGCAGAAATACAAGGTGGATCTACAATACTGGCATAGGGAGCTTTTGCAGTGTCTTCCAGTAGCCGTATCATAATATATACCTGCCGCATCCTGGCAGGTATATACACAATCTGTCATCAGTTGGAGCAGTTCATTAGCAGAGCAACAGATGTCAGGTAATGAGGTGCACTGTAATAATCACCTGTGAGCTCAAGCACGCCATTAACCAGGAATAATAGGTAACATGTGGGGTGTCTCCCAGATGACGGGGTGGGCATGATCAGAAGCCCTCAGGCTGGCAGGTTTACATGCACAGTGCCTGAAAGAGAGCAGCTCGGGCCGCAGGTTGCATGTAATGGAAGAGGGGCTGGGTGTCCTTATGCCTTACGTTACATTACATTATTGTCATTTTCACATGCTCTTATACAGAACGACTTACATAGGTTACAATTTTTATATGTTGTCCATTCATACAGCTGGATATTTACTGAAGCAATTCTGGGTTAAGAACCTTGCCCAAGGAACCTTGCCCCAGTGGGGACTCAAACCAGGAACCTTTCGGTTATGAGCCCTGCTCCTTACCACTGTGCTACACTATCACCCCAAAACATTGCCTGGCAGCGGTGAGATTCAAACCCATGCCATCAAAATGACTGCAGCCTGCAGCCAGCACCTTAGACCACTCGGCCACGCTACCCCACATACATAGTTACCTGGGTGACTGAGAAAGAATCCCCCACCACCTGCCGGCTTCCCTGGTATCCTCCCTTTTACTGCACTGATTTAAAGCCTCCCAGGCCACTGCTACCGGCTCAGACCAACAGCGGAGCAGTCTAGTGATGAAAACAGAGGCCAGAGGCTCCCCGCTGGGGTGATAGTAGTTACACTCTTTCATGTGTCGGGTGTTGAACAAACCCTCCCCAGCCCCTCCTCACAGCCACACGCACACACACACACTCATGCACACATGCATGCAGGCACACACATGCACACATGTGCACGGATACACATTTCATTTATGTGGACATGCATGGATTTAATTTATGAAGACATGCATGGACACACACAATCATGCATGCAGGAATACATGCGTATACATGTGCACACACACACACAAACATGTGCACACACACACACATGCCTTTATGCACACACGCACGCACACATGCGCAGATCCATGCCCACGCACATTCCTTTCACCTGTTTTGAAAGCAAAGAGCCTTGGACCAAAGCCGCCACATTAATATTACAGAGTGGAAGCTGTCTAATTCTAGCTGGATCATACGGATCAGAGTTTATCCTGAGTCCCACTGAATAAAACACCTGGATCTTTTATGAATGTAGTGACTGTAATTCTACTGATCAACACACCTCTGTTTTCAACACACCGGCTTTCAGCAATCCAGTACTGTTGATAGTTTACAGCTTTTTGGATCTGCTGCCAGAAGTAGACTCATCAACAGCTTTACTGTAAACAGAAGTAATGAAGTCTCTATACACAACTAGTGCATTTGTGTCATTTGTAGAATTAGATGTACAGAGTTTGCCAACCAAATAACACCATATCACTAATAAAGGCAAGGTGCTGAAATGTAAATGTTTTAATATTTTCGCATTATCTTTATAAAAAAAAACATTAAGTGAGAATCCTTTATGAACATGGTTCATGAAAGAGCTTGATACCAATATGTTGCTGGGCAGGACCAACCCTCCCAGTCCACATCAGCAGTGCTGACAGCCAATCAAAGAGGCTGTGGACGCTGTATGAATGTCATGGTACTTCTCGCAGTCTTCATTAAGATTCCAAAGGCTGGGCAAAAACCCATTCAGCAATGTGTTGGGACCAATGGTGGTCGACCACTGAGCTGGTCCCGTTAAAGCATTGCTGCCATTTTCTCAGGGAAATGTCACTGCCACGGCTGTCCCCTGGCTGTCCTCCTCGTCATCTCCTTCCCTTCAACCTCACACTATTCACAGGATGCACTCAACAGTATTTCCCAGACTGCATTGCGGTCCTGGGTGGCACATTTCAGATGCTGCTACGTCCCTCACCGCTATTTTCTCTTGCTGTTGACTTTAAAAGGCATGTTGAAAGATGTAGAAATTTCCATTTCCAAATGGAAATGGTTACAGGTCTGTAATTTTTAATCAGTATAGTCTCAAACCTTTTCTGTTGTTACAAAGGAGTTTAGAGGCAAGCCCGTAGAAAAGTGAATCTGTGAAAACTGTAGCCAGTATGGCTTTCTGTCCCACCCCTGACTGCATATATGGAGTTGTTTCCACATGAAATGTTTGGGGCCATAACTATCTGTTCAGCTTAATCAGTGTCATGTCTTCAGTTTAGTCTAGGGAGAGTAGAATCTGTGCCCCCCTCCCTCTTCTGACAGAGAGTCCAGGGGGAGAGCCCAGACAGAGAAGGCAAAACTCCACAAAGCTACTCCCCTCCTCTTGTATGTATGTATGTATGTATGTATGTATGTATGTATGTATGTATGTATGTATTTATGTATTTATTTATTTATTTTTGCTGCAAGAGATGTCTAGGGTGAGACTGATTAATTTCCACAGAGGACCCAGTGACCATCGTCAGAAAGTGACAGGATTTAAAACAACATACATTTTTATCGAGTGTCCCCTACACAAAAGCCTGTTCCAGCCACTGCGGAATGACCTGTTGCTTGGTAACGACGTTCTGAAAGTATTCCGGAGTGTGTCTCGGTTGGAATAATCCCGGGGGACAGAGTGCAGACTCGCAACGCTAAGGAAAGCCAGTCCAACAATAGGCCTGTGTCAATTCCATCTGGAGAGAGATGTTGGAGTGACAGAACGCTCTCGCCGCCCGCGCAAGCTCGACTCCAGACTGAGACCCCGCGATCTGCCCCTGTCTATTGACAGAACAGGAGTGGGTCATGTGAACAGCATCTCAGCCCACGTCCGTCCACTCCGACCCGCACTCGCTCGCAAGCGTAAACACTTGGACACAGGGCTTACTGACACGACCGCCATAAAGCTGTCTAGAACTAGCGCTAATGTCCGCTGCGACGAGAAAGACGCACGTGATGACTGCACAATAGAAATGGATTTCATGCATGGGTGGACAGCGGCAATAAATTCTTTTTTTGAAAAAACTCTGAAGTAAAAAGTTCATGTTTACTTGACCCCTAAGGGTCTTTGGAAGGACTGTGTTGTTTTAACTCGCATCTGTCGCCCTTAAGAGTGAGCACTTAATATGGGACGGTCATAAGGACCACAGTAATAATTGTTAGTAGGTTATATTTCTCTGTAACAATAACGACTATGACTCTTTCCTATGTAATGAATTGCTCTGTAAATTCTTGCTGGAAGGATCTACTACACAGTTCCACTCTGTAATTAAACATTTGTTGTCAAACTAAACATGTTTTATGGAAAATTATTTATAATATTTTTACATTGAGATACACTGAAACCATCACAGAGTTATAACCTTCGTGAAAACATGTCAGATTAATAGGCTACAAATGACTGATCACCATGACTGGCCTGGAGGTGTAAATTGCACCTTTGCTTTGTGTACCTTAGACATGCCTTTACACCTTCGCATTTCTTCTATCAGGTGCGGAAAAGCACACCTTCAGCAAAGGCGGGCTTTGTCTTCAGACAGCTGACCCGAGCGTCTCTTTGTGATCACTGCGCGTATTTCAAAGCTTATGAAAAGAAATTGATTCTGATCTTATCTTTAACACAGCCGGCGAAAAGAAGTCGGATTCCATTTCATATCTCCAAAAATGATAACTGTATCATGTCTCGAAATGCTCCGCTCGTATTCCTCACTGACAAAAGTAAACATGGCCTGACATGTCATCCGTATTGACGTCTCCGGCGTTCGTGTATCGGCGTGCACCCCGCGCGGCGGAGGCCTACGCGTAGAGGGCCATCTGTGCGCCTCTGTCTGGCGGTCGCGGGGAGGCTTGGAATGCGCTCTTCATGTACAATTAACAGCAGCGCGGGGCCAAAGGGTCGCCTGTGGAATGCTGCTGGCAACGCGCGCCGAGGTGCAAACACCTCACGTGTCGCTACTCGCTCGGGTCTGGAGCTTTCCAACGGCGACAGGTGCAGGCGGAATTTTCCCGTTTCCTATTTTTTGTTTTGCTTTTTTTTCTTTCTATCTCCGAGAATAAAGAAAGTCTGTCTGCTTTCGTCCGTACTTTCCCTAATTTATGAATGCACAATGGGATTATTGGTCATTAAAAAATGCATCCACACAACAGTCTTGGGCACATCCTGTTTTGGGGTAGGAGCTGGCAAGTCGTGTTGAAGGGACTGCAGCTGGTCTGAACACACGTCTTTTTCTAACCCAATCTATTATTAGGGGATTTTGGGACATCTGTGATGTTTTCTTAAGTCAGCTGTAAACCAAGATCTCTCGTTTCACCTGGATCTGAAGGCTCTGAACGATTAAGTGTAGATATTTCACATACAGTCGCAGAGTTAAGCCGTCCTTTCATGAACAGACCAGCTGCTGCTTCATATTCACTTTAGTGAAGTGCCAGCCAGCACTGAATTTGCTGATTGTATCCACAGAATGAATTCTGGTTTAGGTAACTGAATCACCCATTCTTGCATGGAGTGATTTTTTCGCCCTTCAATGAATGTATCTCAGACTAATGACTTGAAAACCTCTTGCCCATCTGTTTAGCACTCAATATTAGTAGCACTCAGAGGTAGATTGTGGGTAATGGCTCTTACAAAGTTAACTGCTGCCCAGCCCCAGAATCAAAATATCACCAGACCTCATGCATTTTAATGTTTAATGCATCATGAAAATGCAAGTGCACTGAATTGAATAAGGCCCTGTGAGCAATCTGGTCAGACAATTTGACTTAATATCAGAGGGATGAGGGTTTGAATCATGAACCCTCTGAATTGCTCTCGTGAACAACCAGCTGTTATAATAGTAAAATTCTAACTAATTTACCCCCTTCTTGAATTCCAGAGCATATTCCATTATATGTGATTTGTTTTACAGCACTCAGTTTTATTTGTGAAATTTTACTGGCACATTTGAGAGATGAGAAGTTTAATGCAACCATCCTGTGAAATATCATTCAGCATTTTAGAGAACTTATGTGATCACCCCTGAAGCCCCCCCTTCCCCATACAGATCCAACACCAGAGGGAGAAGGAGCGAGGGAGGGAGGAAAAGCAAGAGAAAGCATGAGAGGGGAACTCTCTCAAAATAAATAGAGGCTTTTGGGTTTGATTGGGTGCTCACATTCCTGTGTCAGAAAAGAGGGTGAGAATCAGCGTGTTCTGCCAATATTGGAAGCGAGTGCCTCTGTCTGACTTCCAGTCCGTGCCAGGGATTGTGCATAGACATGCTGCTGTGACCGAGACTGCTGGGAGAGACAGTGAGAGAAACAGTAACATAGCAGGAGTGGACACACACACACAAACACACACACACACACACACACACACACACGCACGCAGACCCCGTAGGTGATCCCTGTCTGTCCCAATAGGTGGGCTTATAGCTGACTGGCTGCAACACTTCAGAAGCCAGTGTAAAATGATCTGCTGCTAACCCTCCTGAATTTCTCCCTCTCTGCAGGTGGGGTTCTGAGGCAGACAGGTTGCTCTGGTCATCCCCTGCCCCCTTCCCCCTCCATCCCGTGTCTCTCCTAAGGAATCCCGCCAGAGTGCTGTTTGCTTTTT